TTCTTTTTAACAAATGGCTTGTGTGTACATTCATATATTAAGCTGCCCTCGAGGGTAGGTGTGTTCTAAGACAGGCCAGCCAGAGTTCAGAACCAATTCACTGTTTCTCCTTCAATAAAAATATACACAGAATGTGCAGAATATCAATAGTGCTCTCTATAAAGCAGTGAGAACCCTCAATGACAGATTCTAAATAAGCTGTGACAGAACCAAGCTGTTTAATAATATCAAATTATTTGGAGAAGCCCTCAAGGGATGTCCCAGTAAAGTCACATAAAATGATGTTGAAGCAAGTTTCTGAATGATGCTCAGCTATCACAAGGCTTCACACCCACAAGGAATGCATGGGCACATTGTGATCATACGACATTTTTAAGTATTTCATTTTATTCTGAGCTTTCCAAGCACAGTATCAATCTATGCTGCCAAGGCCTCAGCTCCAGCCCCCGCCTCTTACCGACACCTCCCCCTCCGTGTAGGCAGACAACCGCTGAAAGCCTGAACTGTGATCCACTCGCTGTCTTCTCTATTTATACAGTGAGGGAGACATTCTGTACTGGAAGTGGTCAATTAAAGGTGTTAGTAAGCTTCATGTGTTGCTTCTCCATACCTTCATCTTCTATGCCAACATGTGTGATGAAGAAAATTCAGGAATACATAAGAAATCTGTAGTGAAGCCAGCTTTACATAATGGATGGAATCCTAAAATTCTACAAGCACATCCACATTTGTCTAACATAATTTTAATTACTTAGGGGATTAGCTGTTTGAGTTTGGCATGTCTTTTATCTTTATGGGAGCCCAGAAATATCTGTTAATTTTGCCTACTTTTGTGATTTTTATTAAGAAGGGTTTTCTGTATTAGCTTTCCATGTAGCCAGCTAATAGGAATATTTAGTTTTCATTTTAATGACCAAAGTGTCCACAGTGGGTGGGATAAAGGTGAATAATACCAAGTCTTTTCTCTGAATGATTTTGTAATTGACTAATTTCATGGTCTAAAGTTATGTCCTTATCATGAAGACAAAAACAAGCAAACAACAACAACAAACAGGTGGTGACCAATGAGAGCTTTTATTTCCTAAAACCAGTAATTTTTGGCATTGCTGACTCAAATATTTATAATTCTATTGTATCACCTTGGTCAGTGTAGTTCATCATACCACAGAAACATGTTGCCCTAGGATTTTGCTTCTGTGTCAGGTTCAGGAAAGCTGGGTTTTATTGGTGCTGTCATTCAGTATGTCTGGCATCCAGAGGGAGAGTTGGGGTCAAAGGGTGCATTCTCTTTTATGAATTCTCCTTCAGCCTAAGATGAAGCTCAAATGCTGAGCTTTTGTTGATCCTTTTCTAGACCCTTTACAAGGCACACTTCTCTCAACATCTCTGCCACATCATGCCCCACCCATCAAAAGTATTTTAAGTGTCTGATTTTCTCAGCAGCCAAAGAGGCTCATTGAAAGCAGGGGATTGTATTTATCCAGAGTCTATTATGTGTCAATCTCTGTAGGATATAGAGTGTCTACCCTTTTATTTCAAATGAAAAAAATTGAGAAAGGAATTTCCACAGTTGTTAGATAACGAAGTCATCGGGATGAGATGCTGCCTCTGCTGCTGCCCTTTCCCTGCTTATGATTGGCATAAACTCTGGGCAGACTGATGGTAGGAAGCTGATTTGAGTTCTGCTAAGCCCAAGATTTGCCTTACAAACTCACTGGTTTCACTGACTGCTCAGCGTTCTGCCCCTCACTCAGTCATCAATCTTCCTTTTAAAGGGAAGATTTTTTTCTTTTAAGAGACCTGTGCCTCTCTTCCTCCTTTCATAATCATTTGTTCTTTCACTGAAAATATACATTGAAACTTCCCTGTCTAACTTTTCTCTGTTTACACAATATAAAACAAAAATCATGTCATTGCAGAGCTTGAATTTTCACCAAGAAGATAACTATAATACTGAATGAATATATTCATTATTCTGTCTGTGAATATTCATATATATGAATGTCTGTGCTGATAATCCCAGATTTTTGGAGGCCATGGTAGGAAAATCACATGAGCTCAAGAATCACAGGCCAGCCTTAACTACAGACAGAACCTATATCACAAACAGAAAGCTATACAGGTGACTTATTACAAGGTAATAAATGCTAAGAGAAAACAGAAAATAGAGCATGATAAATTGGTAGATATATTCATTCCTTTTCCTATTACTATGATAAAACCCCCTGACAAAAGCACCTTAAGGGAGAAAGGCATATCCACCTAAAGATCCCAGGTTAAAGTCCGTCATTTCAGGCAAATCAAGGTGGAGGAAACTTGAAGTAGCTGGTTACATTATACTTTATTCAAGAGTAGAAAACAATGAATTAATGCTATGCTCAACTGTTCTTCCCTTGTACAGAATCAAGCCCCAACCCAAAGGAATACTGCCCACCTTTAGACTGGGTCTTTCTATAGCAATTAACATAAGACAATGCTCCACAGACATAGCCAAAGACAAAACTGATCTAGACAATTTCCTGTTGAAACTCTCTTTCTAGGTGATTCTAGATTACATCAAATTGACAATTAACTCTAAAAAATGAAGTGTATGTATGGTTAAGAACATTGTTTAATAGAAAAATCAGATTCAGGCTTATAGAGAAATTTAATATTTGAATAAAGCCTTAAAGAAATACTTTTTCCAGTTTATTTCTATTGTAGCTATGATAAATAAAACAGGATGACTGTATTGGTCAAAATGGACAGAAATTGGCTATAAAATACATAGAATAGATGGGCATGGACATTTATGCTCGTAATCCTAGCACTTGGAAAGTGGAGGGTGGAGGGTCAGAGACCCAAGTCCAGCTTTGGCTTTACAAAGAGTTTGAGGCTGTCCTGTACTACATATAACCATTTCTCAAAACAAAAAATCCATATGTATTTAGAAAATATTGGCTGAATGAATGAAAATGTGGATGGATGGATGGATGGATGGATGGATGGATGGATGGATGGATGGGAATGCATTCAATCTTATGACATATATGGATATTTTTACTTGTAAGTAAACTGGATTTATTTATAGGGACAGAGTTTCACATTATACACCATACTGAATATCTGGAATATGTCTAGTCATGATACGCATACCTATTTTATTCAATTCCCAGGAAGCTGAGGCAGAAAGATTGTGAGTTTAAGGACACCTTACACAACACAGTGAAACCCTGTTTGGTAATACCAAAATCATAAAAGGAATATTATTTGGAAATTATTCAGTGAGGGTTGTTTTAAAATGTATTCATATAACATTAAAATGTGAGAAATGTTTACTTGTGTGCCATCAGAAAAATTCTCTGTGTCCCAGAGGTCTGTGTACTATAAACATCTGACTTCACCTTGAATAGAGTCAGTAAATAAAAAGAAGTACATGAACTTAATCTCAAAGAAAAAGGAGGTGGGGGAGGAAACAGTTTTCAGGTGATGTATTTATGTCCAAAGTGTTCATAGTGATTTCATGGTCTTTGTAGAGTCTTCAACTCCAAATGTCAACTCTATAGTTATTCTCTTTATGGGTCTTAATCTTCTTTATGGTGGTAATGTGTTCCATAGCTCTCAGGAACCAAGATTGTCTTTGGCATTTATTGCTGGTCTAGTGGATGTAAATCAGAGCTCTTAGATATGTGTTTAACCTTTTTCTTTTCTGTATTTGGAATGACCTCTGTTGTGCTACAAATGCAGTAGACTGCATGTGAAAATGCAAGTGTTGAAGGTATATTTTTAAAAAAAATTCTTATGCTTAGTTAGCCAATAAAATTACAGTTTTGGACAACCTGAGATAATGTGTGTTTTAAAGTTCATAGGAAAAGCCAGTTTATAGACATTTTATTTATCCTTTAGTCATTGCTTTAAGTCCTAAAAAAAGAAATGTATTTGTGGTTCTATGAGGGTGGTGCCAAAGCATCAATAACGAGTAACTACTCACCTCAGTAGGAAATGGGATAACACTTTTTAAATTGCACTATCAATTTGGGACCAGTTTCCATTATTTTAAAAGCTATTATAGTTTGTTTAACAAAACCATTGCATTTTTAATATAATTTCAGGGTATAACTTTATAATTCATCAAGTTGACATTTTGCCATTGTTTATATTGTCTTCAGAGTATATATTTAACTTACTCTATATTAATAATCAAAATCATAATGAAATATATTTAATGATTATAAAAAGTATTTTTATTATCACATAAAGTGCCAAAAATGTTTTGTCAGCTTTATTTGTTATTTAATGTGTTTGTGTGTGTGTGTGTGTGTATTTAAGCCAAGAAACACAAACCTCTGTGTTTAATACCAATGGGCTTCAATTATTCTTCTCCTGTAATTTTTAGAAACTTGCATGTTTTTTATATATACTATAAGCATTTTACTGAATACGTAGTCAATCATATTCACAAAGGGACTATCAATCATTTCTTTATAATTACTTTATAGTCAGGAGATAATTTTGCTCTTGCTGTATCTTTCCATAGTTAAATAAAAATAAGCATTTTTGCAAACCAGAGTAAAACTCATTGCTTAAAATATGAGTCCACGTTTAATATGATCTTATAATTTTGCCATTCATTATAAAAGGAAAAGTGAAGGTGTCTTATTTAATATTCTTGAGACTTCTACACAAAAGTACATCTCTCACCTTGAAGAGGATAAAAGCTGTATCCTTTGCTGTATCCTTGTTCTGACCAGTTAGTCATCATAAGCTCAATAGCTGGAAATAGTAGTGGTTGATGTGCATTCATCAAATAGGACAAAACTAAAATTCATGTATGATTGCCTAAAATAAAATCTTTGCTTCTTTAGAAAAAAAATCAATAAACCCTTCAAATATTTAACGAACAGCATTGATTTCAGTAGAATTCTTGCTGTTATTTATTAGAAAAAGATGTGCTAATTACTTGTCAGTTATTGATATATAACTAATTGTATTTGTTTTTATTTTCTGTTCCTCTCCTCCAGGTTTAGGCTTCAGTATTGCTGGAGGGGTGGGGAACCAGCACATTCCTGGAGACAACAGCATTTATGTAACAAAAATTATAGATGGCGGAGCTGCACAGAAAGATGGAAGGTTGCAAGTAGGAGACAGACTGCTAATGGTGAGTGTGACCCAAGCAAACTGTGGACAAATGTATAAGCCTCTTCTTTCTCCCAGTGTGACTGTCTTAACTTGGAAAGTTATAACAAAATACCCTAAATTAAATAGCTTAAACAATAGAAATTTATTTTCTCACAATTACAAAAACTGTTACTTCATTTTTGTTAGGGCACTCTTCCAGGTTTGCAGATGGCCACCATCTGAGTACCTCTCACATGCCCATTCAATGTGTTCTTGCTGAGTGAGAGATGGATTCTTCTTCTCCTTTCTCTTCTTCTTGGGTAGCAATCTTATCAGATTATGACCTTTCCTTTAACTCATTTAACTTTCATTATATAGCTGTGCAGCAATAGACATCAGCAAGCAGCAGGACTATAGAAAGGAAAGGGGAGCCTCAGAGAAAGAATGGGAAATCCCTAGTAGCAGGCAAGCATGTTTAGATATTTGGCCAGTATCTAAAAGAAAAAAGAGATAAAGATGGAAAAGGAAAGCAGACAGACGTAGCTGTGTAGTGTAATCGAAGCTCCATGAGCTGTTACATTTGGAAAAGGCTTTTGGGAAGGAAAAATACATTATCTCTTTAAGGAGACAATTATTCCTCCCATCTCTTTAGCATATTCTCAAATGAATCCATTTTCATAAGCAATGGTCTTCTAGAAACCCAGAGGTGGAATCAAAAAGCCGATTATTCAGTAAGGTAAGAGTCTATCCAAATGTCCATGAGATCCCGGGCCTGATGCCTGTCTAACTACTTAAGATGAATTCTATCTCCAAGGAGCCATTATCTACTCTCCCGTTATGAAAAGTGTTAGAGGAAGAGCTGTATGCAAAATTCAACAAAAAGATCATGATATATGTAAGCTTGGATGATAAAGCATCAAAGTTTTTTATTGGTTAGTCGTACATTCCTAGGCTCTTAGGGAGTTTCTGTTTAATCCCTGTGGTCTAACTTCTGATTGTGAATAGCCTTTGTACTGATCCATCTCTATATATGGTATATATTGAATTTCATAAACTCCTTATACTTCTTTATAAGGTAACATTTATTTCCCATGACAGAATAATTTCAAAACAAAAGAAAACAGGTGTAGAGATATTTACTAACTTAGGCATGTTCTTATCGTTAAAGATGTAGGGAATTGGCTTTGCGGATCATGCAATCTGGCTGTCTATCCCTGTTCATCACCTGAATTAATACTTATATTACAGTATAATATTTTCCTGTGCACAGGATAGAATTCATTTCATTGAATCTGTCAGTCAATCTGCCTTTCCTCCCTTTGCTTGGGATTTAGTTAGTAGTTTAATGAGTATCTCACACAACTGTTGTGGTAATTATTTAAAATCGGCCATTTGTTAATTTGACTGTCTAAGCTGCAGTGGCTCTGCCTAGCCCAGCCACCATGTTTCTCGGCCTGAGGCCACGAAACATGCAGTTTCTGCACTGCAGCTAGAACCAGCCCGCCAGAAACACCAGCCCTGCCACCCACTAGATGCCAACGTGAGAGATGGCTCAGCCAATCTTCCACGCTGCCTCTGCAAGGCAGGGCATTGCCCAGACCATTCCGCCATCCATGTGGGCCCAGTAAGAGAATGAAACTAATTCTTATAGATTAATCAAAGGCTTGATATGTTTGATAATGATTAATAACAAGATGCCCATACAAAGAGAGTTATATCCCAATTAGCTAACCTAATTATAAGTTTATAAGTTGTTCCCCACGAGTGTTCTCCATACCTGTGTGGTTCTCCATCCTCCTACATCTCTGCCCTCTCTAGTTCCTCCTCTTCTTTTTTTTCTCTTCCTCTCCCAACGCTTTCTCTTCTTCTCCTTACTCCTCCCACCTTAGCTCCTCCTACACCCAACTACCATTTCAAAGTGTAGCTAGTCTTTAGGAATGACTTCTGCTGAGAAAACATCCAGTCAAGTTGTACAGGTCAAAATAAGAAAGGAAGGAAAGAAAAAAGGAAGGAAGAGAGAGGGAGAAAAGGAGCAATGGAGGGAAAAGTAGATGGAGGATGGAGAGAAATAAAGAGAGGGAGGGATAGAGAGAAGTAGGAAAGAAGGAAGGAATGAAGGAAGGAAGGAAGGAAGGAAGGAAGGAAGGAAGGAAAGACAGAAAAAAAGTACCAGTAAGACCTTTGGTAAAACTTGCTACTCAGGGTTTCAAAATTCTTGACCACCTAAAGGTACCACCATTTTCATTCTCAAAAAACTGTGAAACTTTTGTTTCTTTGTATGCTTCGGATAGTAATCTTGTGATGTTGCATTTTTATATGAGAAAAATTATTTTAGGTACTTAAAACATGAACAACTTTTGCTTAACATAAATTTAATTACTTAAAATGTTGACATTAGAATAAGTGTGAAACCATCTTCTACATTGAAAAGGAAAAGGAAACTTTCATTTTGAAGTAATGGCTGCCTTAGGACAGGCTTCACCTTTTACATACTCAGAGTTCAGATGTAACTTGCCCAGCATTCCTTCATTTGATGTCATTTTGAAGTCATGCTAGACCTGCCTATTAATTTCTTGAAGCTGGGCCTAAATCTGTAGACTTATTTCTAAATTCTAAGAAAAAAAAGGCCCCTATATCCATATAATTCTACCAATGATTTTTTCAGATGCCATGGTATTTTTCCATGATAATTTTTATATTCATTGTAAATGTAATAATTTTGAAAATAGCTGTGACATAATTCTTCCTTGTTTTAAGTGTTAAGGAATGAATGTATTTTTTAAAATGAACTTTCCACAATAATAGCTCTCTTTTGTCCTATATAAAGAAAACCATAATTAGGACTCCCAAGGCAACTGGCAAGTGAAGTCTGGGAATGAAAGAACATTGTTCACGTTAAAATATTCTGGAAGCAAAAGAAAATGACCCTGAGAGACAAACACAAACAAAAAATAATTAGTGACACTACCCTGAACACCAGTTATCTTACATCAGCCCCCAAGATATGTTACTGCGTCCCACCTCTCCATTTAACCCCTACTTTATAATGTCTTTTCCATATTCTTCCACTGTCCTTCCCCAAAAAGAAGTGCACATGATTTAGACTCTGTGACTTACCAGCTGCAGCATTCTAAATATGCCATTCTTTCTGAAGCTGTTTACCCCACTTCCTTCCTTTGGTCCTTAGGAAAACGTCCCCAATATGTTACCCACTTAGAATACTTTAAGTAAACTGGCCTGAAAATGAAACTCCACATTGGGCTATGGCTCAATAAAAGAGCTTGCTTAGCAAAATCCTGAGAATGGCAACAAATAAAAATTAGTTTATACTGAACTCCCATTAGTTCTTTTAGGCTTTGTAGCTACATTGCTACAGTTCTAAAAGTCTCCAATCACCTAGTAAGTGAGACTGCACCCTTGAGAGAGCAGACATAGTCTTAATAATATGCCCTTTGGCTTCACAAGCATGATAACTTCACATTGGGCATCTCCTGATTCATTCTATATAGAGAATACAGTTCCTTGTAGGAAAGCTTTTTATGTTTCAGAATTTAAATTTTAAATGTCATCTTTGTTTAGAACCTCACAATCTCATGGAAAATTAACTGTGTGAAGTGATATTTCACTTCGGGTGGGACCCTTTAAGAATGGAGAATGTAATGCTTCCCCACAGATAATGAATACTAACCACCCTCATGTATTTTTTTTCTCATTGCATTGAAAATTATTTTCTATATTTTTCTCCCTTTGTATTCCTGCCCTTGGAAATGGCAAGGATCAGTCCCTTTTTCATATATATGTAGAAGTTTATACTGCCATATCTTCACTGTCCAGTCTTAAGCATTCATATCCTCAGACCTTGCATAAAGTTTACTTTTTCTATCCAATTATTTGCCATACGACATAGGTGGTTGATCACTGGGGAAGAGTCACTGCAAACTGAGTTTTTTAGATAAGGGAGTAGCAAAAGGTTAAATTTGAAACTTGTGTATCTTTCACCATGACATCTGTGAGCAAGAAAAACCTTTCTGTCTTGTTAAGAGATCTGGTCGTCTTAACTAGTTAATGAATTGACTAATGAGCTAATACAGTGGTGGACTGCCTTGGGGTAAGGAGCTAGTTGCCTGTTTTTTAGATGTCAAGCTTCAGTTAACTTAGCCATCAATGTAACCAGAGACTTGAGAAGCATAAATTATAATCTAGATATCATATATTAATTAAAATGATAGAAGTTAGACTATATTTCATTACCTAAGCAGTTTTCCCAAGTGCCAGTGGTATCCATGGCAACACAGGCAGATGGAGTCTGGCCATCAGGCCCAGAAGATGAGAGGCTATTTTCAATGGAGGAGGAACATGAAAGATGACTTCACCTACTCTTATGTAATATGAAACATTTAACTCTCTGGGTGTCCTGTGTTTGTCCACAGTTTAGGCAGAGCCCTGGCAGTGTACAAGGCATAGGGGCAGTATTGTCCAGTGGCTGGTGTGTCACAATCCAGGTAGAGTTCTTTGTTGGTGTGCCCATATCTTTTTGGAGACTTTCTGGGAAGGAGGAGGTGGGTCACTATTAGGATTTAGGAATCTCTGTCTGTCATAGCAAGTTTAAAGATTTAATGCCATATTCACCAGATCTCTGACAGGATTGAAAGCTAGTGTCTATTAAGCATGACTGAGTGAGACAATCTATGTCTATATTCTGGCTAGATAGATGCTGGGTTTAACATAAAGGAATTGCCAGCATTTGTTATCACACGTTCATTTTTTTCTCTCTCAATTTTTGTTTATATTGTGTGTTTTGGATAGAAGAGTTTTTTTATAAATCACATATGTGCATTTCTTAATGTTTCTTTAAATATGCTGTTTTATATTTTCCTTCATATATATATATAATCTTTGCACTATTTACATGCTTGATGCCCATGGAGGCTAAAATTGGGCATTGGATACTCTAGATCACAGATACTTTTAACCACGACACGTGTGCTGGGAATAGAACCTGTGTCCCTATATTTTTATTTTTAATCTACCTAGTTTCTT